AACATTATGTATCCATAACTCCTTATAAATAGACATATGTGATCCACCACAATACCTCAGGCAGTGAAATTTAAACAATCCCCATGTATTCCAAGAAAATGTTCACCATACTACCCGTCTAAACCTTTGATACAACATAGGATATCCATATTTATATGTTGTTTATCCCAAATTCTGGTCCTGCCATTTTCCTATAGCAATTTTCCAAGCATCGCTTAGATTTGGCACAAGGCCAAAAGTAGGGGGCACCCAGTAAGCATCAAACTCACTACTCAGTCATAATTGTCCTAGCAAGACAAGCTTGCTAACCACTGCACCACCTTGAGTCGCCCCTCCTACTATTTACCTCTGTGTGTGTGTGTGTGTGTGTGTGTGTGTGTGTGTGTGTGTGTGTGTGTTTTGTTTTGTTTTTTTTTTAAAAGAAAAACCTTATATAAAGAAAAAAATCAGAATAAACTGTCCATGGGCATGTTTAGTCCTTTTCAGTCAATATCATCTTTGCAAATATAAACTTGCAGCAAAATCAATAGAAGCAGACATTAAAGTTTCATTAAAACTCTGGTAATGGTATTAGAAGCTTTAGAATATGAAATCCAGCAGTGACATTTTGGTAAAGAGATTATAGTATTAGCATTATTCATTATTACCCATAGAAAGGAATTCCTATATGGGCTGATGTCAGTCTTGATAAGAGAGATCAACAAAAAACTCAATTATAAAACATATCGATGGATATATAAGGTAGTGCAAAAAAAATTCTTCGCCCAATTTACTTCTTGAAATCTGAACCTTATTTGAGACAAGTACAGCAATTTAAATATCTGGGGAGTGTTTTAACAGAAGACAAAAAATACAACACCAAAAATCTGCAGGTGCATTTGAATAGTGAAAGGTGCCTTCTAAAACCTAAGCAAAGTATTAAGAAACAGGAAAATTGCATTAGAAACAAAGAGGGGAATATTTAAATGTTATGTAATCTCACTCCTCCTATATGGCAATGAATGCTGAATAATCTCATTGCAGATAAAGAGACTTGAAACAACAGAAATATGGTATGCTGAGATGAACTAAATATGTGAGCAATGATGAAGTTTTATAGAAAATGGAACCAAAAAAGGACATTTTTACTTAATATCAGAGAGAGACAGCTGTATTCTAGGTTACATAATGAGGAAAGAGGGCTTGGAAAATTAGATACTCACAAGACATATTGGAGAATGGGACAGAAGGCAAACAACATATAACCTACCTAGGAATAGGATAATTAGTGAAGACCAGCCACTCCCCACTTTCCTTTCAGCCATGTGCCACAATTATTGCATATTACAATAAAAAAAAGTGTATAACCTACTTAACAAGATTGTGTAAATGGATGGCAGAACAAAGTTTAGGAGAGATAGCCAAAAGATCAAATTTATTAAGAGCTACAAAGCACAGGAAACTGTGGAGAGCCATGATTGCCAATGTCCTGAAGGGACATGGCACATAAATTGACAGTATGTGGGATCTTTGTGTTTATTTTTTAATGGATTTATTGATTGATTTGTTTAGTGCTTATCAACTCTTCATAGGTTATTTAAAGTCCGAACACATTTTGAATTTAAAAAATAATTCTTTTTTTATTTATGAGTGATGCACATTATAGCAAACCACCTTCATTCCTTTCATATTCTTTTGGTAAGATGTAAGTTCCACTCCTCAGCTATGGGTAAATAGCAGGATAGACTGGGTTCTATAGCCTTGGATGGCAACTGGTCTACCACAGAAAGAAATGGCAACCTGCTACGGGGGAAAAAAATCTGCCTCATCAGTCATGTATTGAAAGATACATGATTGCCTAAGCATGTATCACGCATGGCACATAACTGTAACTTAACTCCAACAGCTACTTTCCACAAACCACTGCTTTGTGGATACTGACTCCCAAGAGGATGCTTCCCTGACCACTACAATTTTAACCTGTTCAAGTCTTGATTTAACTGTTATATTCTCCACATATCCTCATAAACTGTGACTTTTACCTCTTGCTCTATAAACCTCTACCCCAGTGGCTCTTGGGCATTGTAAATTGTGAACATTAAACTATAAAATGAAAAATTTTCCATACTAATGTAAAGACAGGGTTTCTCATGAGCAAATATACTGAAAATAATGAGAAGTTGCTAACAAAATTAATTTTGCAACAATCTAAGTTTTATTTTGTTCTTAAAGTTCAATCACACATTAAGTACCGTTAAGTTGTCTGATAGACAAATTTTCTATGGTTGGATGAGCTATATATACACTAGAGTGGTGAATTATTAAATGGCAAACAGAAATGTTCAAACCAACGACAAATATTCAAAGTCAATAATTAAAATTTGAAGCATAAAATAAATGAAGCATTGCTCAAGATGTACACAATATATATATATATCTACTTTAAAATGTAAAACCACATGATATAAAAAATAATAAAAAATAATTAAAAAAAACAAAACAATGTAAAGTCTATGATAAGATTAGTCATTTCTTTATAAAGAAACATTTGGCATTCATTGGTCAAGTAGCCAGTGCAAGTGCTGCTCTTCATTTTCTGGCTATAAGGTTGAGATCAAAGTGTAGTATCTGTCTGCCACTTCCCTAATTATAATGGTAATATCAATCATTTCTTTATAAGGAAACATTTGACATTCATTGACCAAGCAGCCAGTGCCACTACTTTTCTTCACTACCTGACTGTTAGTCTGGGATCAAAGTGAAGTATCTGTTCATCACTTCCCTAATGGTAATCTCTATCTATAAAAGGCAGGATGTGTGTGTATGGGTAACGAATGCACGGCTGCAATTTTCAATGGATTTGCACCAAAATTTACATGCACATGCTCCAAGTTAGCGGGAAGGCCAAGACTGACTTTGCATTTCCCAACTCTCATCGATAGTGGAAATAATTGATTTTTTCATGCTTCTATAGCAGTTATCATGTAGTTTGCGGCCATTTTGTACTGGCAAGAGTGAGAGCCTATACCTGGCTGCCACGAATAAGCAGGAAGATTCTATTGGCCAGCGTGAGAGCCAACAGCTGACTGACACAAATGTTAACTAGCATGCTAGCATGCAAAAAAAAATCGATAGCTGCATTCATCACAAGTGGGAAAAATTTAAATCTGCATGGCACTTTACTCCACTTGGCTCATTTGCTTGCTTAAATTCAATGTTGATTCTGATTCCGCAGAATTGGGTTGAGTGTGAAAAAGTATTTGTTATTAACATTCTTTTTTCATTCGGTTTTTACAGTTACAAGTTCTTTTTTAAAGCTGATCGTTTTGTGTTCATTTTGTTTAGTTCTTTTTTCATAACAGATTTAATGTTTAGTATAGAGCTTAGAAAAAATTTGCAGTGTAAGATAGACAAGAAGTAATGCATCTAGCAACATCAGTACGGAAAAGGGCACTCCTTTAAAGGCAAGGAAGGGCAAAAATATTTTAAGTCAAGTGATAGTGATTACTGTATGAGTTCTACGATTTTTGAATCAAGCACAGGCAATGCCGGACCATGCTGCTAGCATTAGCTATTTGGCATTCATTGGCTGAGCAATCAGTGCCTTTGCTTTTCATGCTGGGATCAAAATGTAGTATCTGCCTTAGGGCATGAAAACTCCATTTCATCCCTCAATTTTGCTTCTGTCTTTCGATGGATCATAACTAAGTTGTGTTCCTGTCTGCAGACAGAGTGCCACTGAAAATATTATGGAGATGTACCCGGTCTTGGAGAACAGCTGCACATGTCAGTACCTCCCTCTTTGCACTAAAGAAAGGGGATCAGTAATAATACTGATCCTGGCCTGGATGCACGCACTCAGGCTATCCACATTAAAGTGACCTTGTGTCATATGCTGTCAATGTGGGGTGGCAAATAATTCCTAAGTGTATTATCTGTTCTCACCATATCTAATTGTAATGTTAATATTAGTGATTTCCTTATAAGGAAACATTTGGCACTCATTGATGGAGCAGCCAGTGCCACTTAATTTATGCTTTTCTTCACTCCCAGGTCATCAGATTAGGATCAAAGTGTAGTATGTGTTGTCCTAATCTCTAATGGTAATATTAACTGTTTTCATATACATGGCAACATGTGTTATTCAGTGATCAAGCAAGCCAGCACTACTTTCTGTTGAAATTTATAAAATCTTCTCTTTTTTTTTTTTTATTTCAGAAGAATAAATTTCTCTTTCTAGTACTAATGTTTCCTTTTTTATTTTTTTTTACAGTTAGGTTCACCCTTTACAAGGCCCAGGGGCCACTTGAGTAGAGAGTGACATTCAGAGGCCATTTGAGTGTACAGTAGAGGTAGATAATGGTTAACCCTATCCTTGAACGGGTTAAGCATGTTCTTGCTGTGAAGGTTTGACTTGGTGGGATCAAGGATTGTAGTTCATCCGAGAACTTTCTGTGGAAATAGCCATAGAGAAGCGACAGGCTTGCCACATCCCGCCTATAGGATAGAGGTTGAAGAGTGGAAAATAATTTCCTTCCTAACCTTTTGTTTGAAGTTGGCTTGTGTAATAATGTATCTGCTTTTTTTTAGACAATACCATGTTAGTATCAAGCTACTCTAATCTATGGATGATAGTTGACTTATATTTTGCCATGAAAGTTCATGGAAGAAAGGACATTGGTGAATTTCAACGAGGGCAAATAATAGGATGACATCAGTATGGCAAGTCAAATAGAGAAATTGCTAGTTTTCTCCCAGGTTAATCATCAAACAGTTAATAATATTGTCAAGGAATTTAATGAAGAAGGCCATTGTCATGTGGAACAACATTCAGGAAGATCAAGCATCGTGTCTGAGCAGATGAAAAGGGCACTGAAGATGAATGGTCCAAAATACTCTCAAATATTATAGAAAGAACTACTCCCACTATTTGAAACCAATCAGATTGACAAGAATGTCTACCTTTATCAAGAAAATGGAGCACCATGTCATACAAGAAAAGTAGCAAAGGCCTGAAAGGA